AAAAAAAAAAACATGCTAAGTAAAAATACGTCTATGTTGTCTGATTCCAGAGCTTTACCTACTAAGAATTATAGACAAGTAACTGTAGGAGGGGGGAAATTTAGTAATTTCTATAAGTAGATTTCTGTTTTGGTTATCAAAAGAGCAATTCCATGCTAAGCATTATTTATACGCCTTTAAAAAAATCTTTGTTAGCTATTTTTTACAGTAGAGCAGATACAGTGAAGGAGTTGGAGTGAGATGACAATCAGCTAGATTTTACTTTCAGAATATAAATAACATTTAGGAAATGATCAAACAGCATTAACTATACCTCATCTGCCTTTGCATCTGAATTAGCATATCAATCATTCTTTTTCTTTCATTACATTTTTTTTAATAGTTGAGCCACCTTTAGTTTCTACTTTGAACAACTGTTTTCCTAAGGTCAACTATTTAATACTTTCCTGTCAAGTTGATTTAATACTTAGTGTAAGCTTACAGTTTACCTCAAAGTATCTTTGACTTAATATCCTCTTAAAAATATTCAAATTGATTTGTTTTTTACTGCTTGATTAGCAATGTCTGAGACTTTAAATTATTCATATGAATTCTTTTTCTGAGTAAATCATCTGCCACAGAAATTGATACTGCTGAGAGGTTAATTGTTAATGAGCTGTAGAGAAGCTGCTAGGTTGCTTTAAAACATTTTTAAATTACTCTGCTGTTAGTTCACAGAGCATTATAGTTTCTAAGTTTCTTAATTACAGAAGTTTCCTAGAATTTGTCTTATTAATCTGTCTTTGCACAAGTGTAATATTGATTGATACTGACTTTCCCTAATGGACTTTGATTCTTGTATCCAGTAGAAGATACGAAACTGAATAGTAAAAATTCCTTAATATTAGGGACAAGAACACATTGGGCTTTTGGTATTTTGGTGGTATTAACTGACAATTCTAATTTGTTTTCAGGTTAGTGTATGGAACAAGTTAGTTTGTTTTTTGTAGTTAATTTGCTTCACTCTGGGTGGCAGTTTCTTTCATCACACTTTGAAACTTTAAAGTAGATTTCTGTAGAAATTTGTTCCCTTTACCTTCACCAAAAGGTACTTTAAATATACACTAGACAGTTGTTGCAAAGAAACATAAAATAGGTTATTTTTCTGCCCTCTTTGGTTGTATTTACTATAATTATTCAGTTTAGTATTCATACATTTACAGTTGAATAAACTCTCCAAGAATTGTAGGTTTATAACCTGATAATTGTGAAAAGATGTGTTTTGTTACAAATACTTGTTTAAAAAGTAAACTTGAGCAGTAGAGCATTGACTAACACCTGCCCGTAGTGCTACATAGTGCCCAGATGCAGACTCTGGCCTTTGGTGTGACACAAGAAGTAAATGTTAAAGGAAAAGAAAAGTCAAATAAGTTTTTAAAAATTCGATCAACAAGGTTGGAGAAGGGTGTTGTTGAGGGGTTTTGTTTGTTTTTATTTACAGGGGCAGGGGTGGGATTGATTAGTGTTTCTGCACACACCCCTTTTTGTTTTTTAAGTAGATTCCTATGTTTATCAAAAGCACATGCTGTATATTTTGTTCCCCTTTTGTGTGTTTATAGTATTTTGAAGGATAAACGAATTGGGTATTTGTATGTGGGGATATTAAAAGTTGTGGCTGCTCTCTTTGTGGAAAGGAAAAACAAACGAAGTTAATGCACTTCTTTTCCTAGCTCAAAAGTCACTGTGATGTATATTTTTTTAATGAAATTTAGGAATAAAGCTGTTGTTGCAATTGTATAATTAGTTTCAAAATGCTGCTTCTATCATTAGTAACTGTTAAACTGTTTTCTGCAAACTGCATTTTACAGAATTTAAACTGAAACTGTATCAACTTTTATAGTTAAACATTGTATTAAATAAACTATACTATAATAAACAGTTTCTTTTTGTATTTCTTAAATTATTATATCAGTTTATTTGGCCTTTATTTTTATTAAAAGCTAAGTAATGAAGATAAATCAACCAAAAAAATACTTCTACTTTACCCATGGGGATACAGAATTTGTATTAGGGAAAATCTGAGCAAAGCGTTTAACAATGCTGAACTTACTTAAGAATTGAGCCAGCAGTGATCATTTCCAGGCTTAGGAATTAAGTTCTAGTGCAATTGTTTAATCATAATGCTTCAGACTGCAGTGTGTCTTTTGCCTCAGCAATCTTTTAAGGTTATACTTGGAATTTGCATTACTATTTGTTTTTTAATTCCTCCTAATTTTCTGCATTGGGAACACTATTACATTCTGTGCCTGCCACTTTTAATATAACACCATTGTTAAGCCATATAAATGTTAACTGACTTTTGTAAAATAGATTTTCTAGTTTTTGGTTCATTTTTGTTTTTATTTAAATTAGACATATTTAGGGAAAATGTACCTCATTAACTTGAGAGTCACTGAAACTACACATTAAGTAGAAACGTTTTGACCATTCAGTGGTTTGTATGTGTTAGCAGGAATAAACTCAAATTCTAGAGTGTTCCTAAATGTTTTATTAAGCCAGGATAATATAAAAAATGTGCTTCATATGGGCTGTGTAAATTGTGTATTAAAATACATTAGTATCAATTTGCTTTTTCTATTTTCATTGCTTTCTAGGTTTCTTTTCCTAAACATTTCCTAACTGAATATTTTTAAGTGCTGATTCAGAATTTTTACACTCCCCTCCATCTTCTCAATACCACAAATATCTTAGTTCCTTTTTACGTCTTTGCAACAAATTTTAGCTATGGGTTTCTTTTA